TGGCGCGTTTTCGACCGGAGGCACCGGTTGACCTGAAGTGATGCTGTGACCGCGTGCTCTCCGCCCTCTATCTCGAAAACGGTTCACCGTATAAAAATTTTTTTTAAACAAAATTTGTAGAGAATTTTGTATTCTACAATATTGATAATGAATACAAATAGCAAAAAACCCATTGGAAATTAGATATTTCCAATAAAAGCGCAAAAAACCGATTTTTGTGACCTTTGATCTTGAAATTTAATAGTTGCTTACACCCTACCATATGTAGGTTTTGAGACAACTTTTAGGGTGTCAATATACAAGTATTTACAGACTTACAGCTGGGTATCTCGAATTCCGAGGTGAATTTACCATAATGACTGGACTAAATTTTGAAAAAAGATGTTTTCACTGTGTAAATTTTTATGTGGTAATATTTGCTTACTAATATTTGCTTACCCATAAAATTCATTTGATTACTCACACTTCCAGTTACCACACATTTTATTGTTTTCTTTCTGTCAAATGTATTGACAGGTCCCTCAAAAATCTTTCTAATTGTCTAAACTTCTGGATGTTCGGAATACGACGTTTTGGGTATAGCCCAACATACATATTCCTTGCCAAAAGAGGATTTCTATTTAATTTTTAATAACTGAATAGCATATCCTTCCTTTCATCTTTTGAATACATCTTGGATATGTTCATAAACGTCTGAAAGTTCTCAACAGATATCAACAACGCATTCATTTCTCCAGCGATAGAAACCAAGCAAAGTCTACGCGTTTGAGATGGTAAATGACTTTAGATGATTTTTGATCATATGAAATTATACAATTTTGACCAAAAACTGATATTTTCGTTACTTCCAGGATTGAGAATTATAAAAATATTACGAATTATAATTGATTAGGGAGAAATAAGCCTTGAAAGAAGGGTTACGGCCATAAAAAAAATTCCAAAACGAAAAAGTACGAATTTTCATTGTGTTAGGGTACATACCTTTTAAATTTATTGGGTTGTCTGAATTATATTTTGAAGAAATCGAAACAATTTACAAAAGAAGTAACGACAGGACCGTAATTTAAAATTGTTGTCACTGATGATGGTAGTTATTTCAAATGAAACGCTATGAAAATATCAACTGTGATATACCCTTGGATTTCGAATTTATTGCTTTATCAATATCTGTAATAAAAAAGATAGGTCGATATTTAAAAAAAAAAGTTGATGGTGGCCATGTTGACACGAAATGTTTTATCGAATATTTATTATTACATCGTCATAGTACACTTCCAATACAATAACATTTTCATTTTCCATTTTTGTATATTCTCCAAATTAACAATACCGTTCGAAAAGCACGAAAACAGCATATTTTGTTTTCCCCGTATAACTCGAGAAGGGCGAGAGTCCCCGTAAATTTTCTTCGACCATTGTATTGTTCACGATGACAGTTACCACTTACTGGTCTTCGTATCTGTTATAGTTTAGAATATAGCAATGTTACCACATGATAAAAGAAACGGCCTGCATGATGAGCAATTTATTAATTTATTCATCTCCTAGGGTCTGTGTGATACATGCAGATGATGGTCAAATTTTGAGAAAACCTAAAATTATCTGCTGGGTCTGAACCAACTGAAAGTAACAGTAAAAATTATAAATCATCAATGAATGACAACCTACCACCTTTCTAGAAAATGGGAAAGATTGTCTAGAATACCATCAATAATCAAAGACAGGATTATCTAAGTAATTGAACTTGACCTGAAGATATTATTTAATGAACACTGAGCGTCAGGATCATGCGCAGTTGATATAGAGCGTCCTGGTTTATTGAGGATAAGTTCGGAATGATGAATCCTCTGTTCTGGATTCGACTGTGAAATAATCCTAAACTGTTTTGAACCGCCCCAAATAGTTCTTGCTCTCGAGGCTGAACTGTTTTCTAAGATGTTTTTTATTTACTTCATTTAAATAATTTATGATTGAGATTAGATAACATTTCAACTGACTACAAGGATACGCTACATAACACAATGAACATGATCAACAGTATTTTCTCGTCTTCATCTCTTCATATATTAGGTGGCACAGTGGTCTCTCAAAATGTGCTCTGGTTTAACCAAGTGTCCGAGGCTATTTCGGACTGTTTGAGATTTTTTGCTTGTACGCATCATGTTTTGCGCAGTTTCCAAACAGTTTCGGATGTTTGAACCAGAACATACCTTATATATTAGGATTCAGAGTTGTTATGAATATTTGTCGTTATTTGCCAATAAAGAGAGTTGAAACGTTAGCCCTTGAAGTTATTATTTTGTTCAAATACTATACATAATTGAATAAAAATCAGATATGTTATAGTAGATGAATTCTTTTGAGAAATCAAAGACTGTTTGAGCAGGGACAAAAAAAACTGAAAAACAGATTTTAAACAGATTTTTATTATACATGTAATGAAAACAAAACTACCTGAGACTAAACATCACCTTCATCGAGATCTACTCTACAGGATCGTGCTTTTGGGCTCTGTAATACAAA